TTAGGAAGTGAAGTATCACCCTACTTTTACACAAAGTAGCTCTGTGTAGCCAGTGATATCAGCTGTTAGCAAAACCACCAAGTAGCTCTTGCTTAAGACCATTTTCAGCCCAAAATTTTCCATACTAATGGTTTGCTTCAGGTAACTTTTCCTCACTCTCCTCTCATACCAATATAAAAAAAAAAAAAAGAAAAAAAAAAAAGTTAAAGAATGGCTGGAACATTTTTCTATTATTATGGCAGAACCTATGGAAAAAAGAAGCCTTTATAAACTCTTACTTTGAAAAACTATAAGCATTTCTCTGCCTTGAGCCAGCACCTTGATATCATGCTGGATGAGGGTTCTACACTTTGCCTCGTTCTGGGAAAGATGAAACCTGATCTGGTAAAGCTACAAGCTTCTAGAATTCAGAGTTTGTACATAATTAGTGGCAAAACCTGCTGGAGCTTAGGAACAGGTTTTTAATCTGAGCTATTACCTAAGAATTCTTAAATGGCTGCACCAATTGTATTATTGTTTATTAACAGTAATTGCAAGACCTTTCTAAGCTTTCAAAAATAAGAAAAAAATGACACTTCAGTTCCATTCCTTCCCCAGTACTTCCCTAGCTGTTTTTTGCAATTGAATTGGATTCACTGAGCAACTTTCAAATGCTGAACAGTAATGTCCTAATAGTAGCCAAAATCAGAGATGCAAGCTTCTTCTTAGACCACTACAAATAAAATCATTCCAACCCAAAACCAAAGAAACTATAAGAACAAGAGTCCACAGCACTTCCACAAGAAAACAGATAAAGAAATGAAGCAACTTGAAATGTGACTTGAAAGATTATTTTTACAAGATCAGTAATGTTTTGTAACCATGCTGCTTTGCACCAGTTTGAACTGACTAACATGCAAAAAGATTAAGTCTAATTAAATATCAGGAGGAAGACCATGAAGGCTGAAGACATTCCTAATACTAAACTAAATATAATACTGCCTTCCCATAAGCTGGAGCCATATTTTAAGTCTCATACAATAGAAATATCTTTGCATCAGCCAACAGGAAGATGTGTAGTATTTAAATTAACAGACTACAGAGAATTAACACTTAAACTTACAAGTACAAAGAAGGTTGTAAATAAATTGTTATTGAAATAACCTTCTTAGAACCCAAAAGTAAGAAAGACTGAAAACAGGTCTACAGTAATGCAGTACAGAAGGTAAAGATCTGTGCATAATACAGTATACTATGTCACCTGTGTAACTCAGTGTATTTTTTTTCCAAGGTTCCCTTTTAATTAACAAGCAAGCATTGATATCTTAGCATTCACTGTCACAGAAGAAAACACAGTATCAAGTAATCAGTTCTAATGCTGCCCTATTCCTCTGTCAGTAAGAACTACAAAAAATTCTAACAACCAACTTGTTCTGTTGATTTATTTCACTTTGAACTGTTACACTAGATACTATAATTAAGTCAAAATGGTTTAACGATGCACCTCCTGACATCAGGGACGGCTAATTTTTCCTGCATCTGAAAACGATAAGTGACCCAGAGTATTGAACTTAGAAAAACTGAAGTGGAGATACATTCCTAACATCTTTTGAACATGCACATAAATTATATAACGTAAGTCATTCTACATGTTCTCAGTACAGGAGAGAAATGGACCTGTGGGAGTGCATCCAGAGGGCTACCAAAATGATCCAAGGGATGGAACACCTCCCTACAAGGACAGGCTGGGAGAGCTGGGGCTGGAGAAGATAAGGCTCCAGGGAGACTTGAGAGCTGCCTTTAAATATCTTAAGGAGAGCTGTAAGAAGGAAGGGGGCAGACTCTTCAGCAGGGTCTGCTGTGATAGGAAAAGGGGAAATGGTTTAAAACTGAAGATTGGATATAAGAAAGAAGTTCTTTATGGTAACAGCAGTGAAGCAGTGGCACAGGTTGCCTAGAGAGATGGTGGATGCCTATCCTTGGAGATATTTAAGGTCAGGATGGATGGAGCTGTGAGCAACCTGATCTAGCTGTAGGTGACCCTGCTCACTGTAGCGAGTAAGGGAGTTGGACTAGATGGCCTTTAGGGGTCTCTTCCAACTCAAACATTCCATGATTCTGAAAGAACACACAGATCTAGTAATCCAGGCATACTGAGAATGACAAAGAGTTAACCACAAAATAAATGTTGTAAAGCAAGAGTTCACATTCTTTTACATAAGTATTCATTTTAGAAAGGTACACATCCTCCCACTTCAGGGAAGGCTGGCTTTGTTCATCTATCGATATCTTTATGCTACCTACCTTTGCAGAGTTACCTACATTAGCTCATTTTAGATAGCAAACAAAAACCCATTTCTAATTCTAAGGAGACTGTTTTAAAATGTATTTTCCACATGCATGATCTGCTCACTTTCCAAATATTATAAGAACGTAAGTATAATAACACAAGTAAATTTGTCAGATTTTCACTGCTGAGAACTCATCAAATTTGTACCAGACCAAAATAGTGACACCTCATTTGAAAAATTAAGTAATAAAAAAATATTTGTAACCATACTTTCAATTCACACTCCTGTTGAAAAGCATATAAGAATATTCAATACACGGTTCTCTTTCTATTTCTGTAACTGTTTCCTGTAAGCGTTACTTGCAAGTGTTATCTTGCCTTCATATTCATCTAGTTAACATATTTATATCACAATCATTTCTTCAGTATGCATATATGGTGAAAGACGTTCTCATTTCACACCAGAATACAATGATATATATATATTTTTAAAGGAAACAACTGGAAGTAGGAAAACTAAAGCAAAATAAATCAGTTTTGCAAAGTATAGATATCAAAATGAGTCTTAACTGAAAGAAAAACAAATCTGTGATTTAAACCATGCATTTAAGAACATATTATTTACTTCATGTTTGAAGGCTGTACAGCTGTGAAACAGTGCTTTCCTAACCATAAACCTTTTCAAAGAATCAAAACGATTTGTTTTTATTCAGTAGATAAAAATTCAAGTTTATTCAGTAATTCGCAAAAATACCTAAGCTCACAAAGAACACAAATAAGAGAAACATCTCTAGATGAGTGTAACTAAAAACATATCATGTGAAAGTTCTGACACATTGAAGACTATATTGTTTACATTATGAGCAACAAAATAATGAGAAATCGGAATTAAAAAGAGTTCAAGAAATACGATCAGACACCGCTAAAATCATTAACTTGGCTAAGGAGGAGCATTAGCGCTCAGAAAATGAACTCATTTTTTAAAAACAGGTATAAAGCCAGCAACATAAGTTTCTAATGCCCTCAGTTCCTCTGCATCCAATTTGCTACAAATAAACTTTTATCACTCTGTAAAGCACAACATCTTTAATTCGCTGGAACTTGCTGAAATTGTAGCTTTAACAACGCAGAAATCATTGGATAATAAAAAGGATGGTGTACTAAGAAAGCAATCATACTCGCTAGGTCATTATCCTATTTTCTTCAAAACAGCTAAAACCTGGAGCACTTTTGAAATCAAATGCACAATTGAGCTGAGTTGAACTACACATGATGTTCATCCCTTTATATGCAACTCCAAAACATCTGTTTTACTGCTACATGAAGGCACTTTCCTCTTCTCCCCCTTAAAGCAAGTACTATGTTTCCCTGCTGTTAATTATCAATTTGTATTAACATTAAGAACAGACACAATACAACTCCCTCAAAACATGTCTACCTAAAAGAAGGTAAAATACATTCCAAAAGAAAGATTTAGTATTAAAAAAATAAGACCACTAGCAAGATCTCAACTTTTGGCATCCAAAGAACAGAAAGTCAAATAAATGGTGGTAATTGTGTTGGACCTTCACTTACCAGAAATGCAAGTTACTGCAAGTAAACAATACTTTGTTATATTCTCAGTTCCAAAGTACCATGCATGGCACCATGCAGCTATGCAGCTCACAGAAGCTCTCTTAACAGTTTTGAGTTGTAATATCGTTCCTCTCAAGGCTATCTTACTCATCCAACACAGAGGTCCATACCAGATCTCTTGACTCTCACTCTGCTTAATGTGCAACATGCCATCCAGAGAGAGCAATATACATGCCACAATCGTACCATTAAAACCAGTGATTTAGGCCCAGTTCTGCAACACTCATGCAAAAATTGAGCTTCAGAAATTGATTCTGACACACGGAAGGAAACCTCTGAACATTATTTATTTAATGCACGGAAGTATTAATTTTTCCCTGTAACCTGTGAATGAAAAATCCAAGTATGTGGAAACTCTGAAATCTCTCAGGTCTAAGTTGTACCAAGAAAAAGAAGAAAGAAAAAGCAAACAAAAAAGGTCAAACGCTCTCTGTAGCTTTCTACTGAACAGTCTTCTAACACAATGACACATAAAGGGTTTCTAAAATAATTTTAGGAAACTGCATTTTGTGCAATTGCCCAAAATTGTACATGTGCTACACATGTATTGCTAAAAATAAATAAATATGATCCAGTACAGCCTGTACCTTCACCTAAGACTAAAGTCTATTATCTCCTTTAAAAAGGAGAAAACAATTGATCTTTTTTTTTTAATCAAAGAGATTAATACTTGCTATTCAAGCACACATCTGTAGAGCGTTGATAACAAATCCTTGTCAAAACATACAACAGCAAACAGCTGTTTGACTGCTCTGTTGTTTTTAGTCTCTGTGGTAGCCTTTTTTGTTTTCTGGAAAACAACCTAATGGCTGAGATCACTAAGAATTCACTGTGAGCAAGAAGAAGCTCAAAATAACTGCATTCTGCATGTGCTCAGACCCATACAGTTTCACAACAAGGCTATAAATACAGCAGCACTCTTTTACTCCCTGTGTACTTGACTCATTGTAGCCCATGGAGACTTCTGAATAGATCAGTGGCAGATTTACCCAGTATTCTAAGCTCCTTTTTCATCATCAAGGGAGGGGAGCCAGAAAAACAGCAGTATTTCAAGATGCAAAACTGAAGAATTTTATATGGAGTACAAAACGCTTACCTGCTGAACTAAGTAAAACACTGAAGTCTGTTCCTCTCTGTGATTCTCCACATTCTCCCTGTCCCCCTTTTTCTGCATCCTCATAGCGGTTCCAGTTTGAAACAATCTTCCTTCTTGAGTAATTTTTCACTTCCTCTTCCTCCTCTCGTGATTCAGTATCATCATCATCCTCTACCTGTCATATTTAAACAGACAGCAAAGCCATTACAACTCAATAGCATTTAGCTCAGTATTTAGATAGTCACAAACACAATGAACTACAACCACAGAATTCAACTCCAGAAAGACAAATCAGTCTGGTTAAGTGTCACCCCATCAAAATTTTAGATGAGGTGCAACCACATTGCTGAAATACACGTAACACCTGAAATGTATTCAAACTACCTAGCAGAGCTTCCTATAGGGGTCAAGCAGTGATGCTGGTGCCAAATACTGCTGTTGTCCCTCCTGTTCTGGAAGCCAGTACCAAACAGCTTCCTGATACCGCGGGGGAGCAGAACTACTAATTTAGTCACAGCATCTCTACCCAAGTGTTGCAGTGATGCAGATGATAACTGAGTGAAGTGTCTGATGTTCGTTGTGTGAAATTGAACAAAGCTAACATTACAAATATTGCAGAACAAAAGCACAGACAGGCTTACCTATGTAATAATTTCTATTTTAACCAACTTCCTTTGAGGCCTGAACACAAGTAATATGGAATAATTAAACAAATCCATTTCCTTCATGAAAACCATTTTATTGAAATACACAAGCAAAAATTAAATAGACTGCTGGCAGTCAATCTACCTGCCCAAATACTTATAACACACTGGGATTGAAGGGAAAACCGATGAGAGAGTCAACGCAAGATTCAAGCATTTGCCAAAGCACTTAACCACCATGGAAAACTCTCCCCTGCATCAAGTAAGCTCTTCTTCCACAGCTTGTGGTTTGTCTAGAACAACCATTGCTTCACAGACAGAAAAGTCTCCTTCATAGTGGAAGAAGAGCACAATAGGCAAGAAGAGAACCTAGAGTAGCTGAAGAATCTGAGCAGAAGATACCTTCTGCAGAGGGAGGCCTAGAGCTCTCAAGAAGTAGAGAAGAGGAGTCAAGAAAGAAGAGATTCACTGTGTGCCTCAAACACTCCTACTGACAGCTCCTCTCTTTCCCTCACCTTCACTTCATCTCTCCTACTACAAACCAAAATGCACTGCTGCCATAAAATTTAATTTTGCTGTCCCAACAATAAGTGCATTCTCTGTAACCAGAGCAGTTAAATACAAGTTTGTCAGCACTGCTGCACAGCTTAAAGTAACTTCATTCAGTATAAAACAATTTTAAAGGCAAGTCACCTTTTTGTAAGTCATTATATATCCATAAACCAAAATGCCCTTATAGCTCATCACCAGACACTTGCTTTAAGGAGGACTTTGGCTTTGATAGCTTAAATCATGTGTAATCCAGAAATAAAGGTGAAGATCAATTCTTTATATCAAACAAATGTCCTTTAAGTGAAAAGCTACAACATCTTGTGCAGAAAAATTGCTACAGCCTTAAATAGTTAGTGTGTCTCTGAAACTACACTAGGTTTTATTTTTTTTAAGCACAGTACTGTAGAATTACATGCTGGTACAAGACTGGACAAACTGCCACATCATACAAGTAACAAAACCACAACTAGAATAATGGCTTCAATATAAACAATCCACTTATATTCATGAACAAGCTTCTTTCACCAGCGTTCCAGGAGTCCTGCTTAGGAACAGCGTGAAGCAATGCTAAAATCATCAAAGAGCAGAAAAACAGATTAGAAGCAATCATACAGGATACATTCCCAGTTGTCAAAAAACTGACAAAAGGGAAAATATTCTGTGCATTCTCATTGGTTCTGTGTAATTTTTAGAAAGAAAAAAGAGATGTTATCTCTCTGTCAGATAGAGATACTAAAATAGTTGTGAACAAATGGCTGGTTGCATGAGTGAGAGGGTGAAGTCACAACTGCGTTACTGGGGACTGACTGAGAGCTACAATTTCCATAGAACAAAGGCTAAATTCACTTAGGTTAAGATAAGAATGGATTTGTTTCTTTTTCTTCTCCCACAAATCAAATGATTTGCTATAATCCACTGAAGCCTTATGGAATTTTGTGCCTGAAATAACTGAGAGGTGACACAATTCACACGTGAAAGCAAGAATAGTGCTACACAGATGAATTTGTGTTGTACTTTCTTTTTGTTTCAAAGAAAAGATCAGAATCATCCAAGTCAGCTGTGGTACTGTTACAGATCTGTTTAAAAGACACTCTTCTTTCAGCCATCAGCAACAGAGCAGGAGAATCACCTTCTTAACAAGCTTTCACTAAACTAATATGGATTCAAACGCTTTCTCTTAAATACAAAATAATGATGGGCAGAATTCTTTTTCAAATTTGAATTTGAATTAACTTGAACTTTAAGAAACAAACCACAATTTCCCAAGAGTGTTAATAGGCTCTGTGCAGTCTAGTTCCTTCAGTACTAACCTGAGATTTGCTTCAGAATTGTATAAACTTCAAATACAAATCCCCCTAATTCTCCCAATAAATATTCCAAGATGTTACATAATGCACCGTCCTGCTACAGGATAAAACTGAAAATAATCATACTTGAATATTCAACATTCAAACAACTTAAAGATGTATTTTCATCATTAAAATCATGGATTATCAAAGACATTCAGACACATCAGTGAAGCTTCAGAAAATAATCTGCTTCTGCAGTCTCTTATGAGTCAGCTACCATCTAAAGTAACAACCTGAGAAACAAAAATAATCATAAATCTTCACTTCTTTCCCCTTATCTGCCTTAGCTACCATTACTGAGAATTAATTTTAATCAGTACACAGCAGACTTCTATCTATAGTGAAACAAAACACTTCACCTTCCCCTATTTCCCAATCTCAAATAACAAATGACACAAGCTGAAATAATTTCTTGAAGTCAACTCAAATATAACCTTTAGAACATTATTACTTAGATAAGGAGAAAAACTTACGCTTTTAAGCAAATTTGAACTACTCAGTCCTACTATGCATGATGATATAACAGCAAGTTCAATATTCACCTGCTCCACTTAAGATAGCATTGCATGCACTAACATTTGCAAATTTAATTGCAATTTTGGTGACAGTACAAAAATCCAGTTAAATAAAACCAGGAAACCTTCTGACTGTTTTGTCTTTAAGATGTGTGTTCTGCCTATTTCTAAGCTAATTACGGTCCCTCGCACAACACCAAAAGAACTAGGCTACTGTGTACAAGAATTTGCACAATTTGGGGTCTTCTGCAAGGACATATTTTTACCATTTACTATAGCATACAACTCCACCTTCCTTCTGAAGGAAAGTAAAATGCTCAGCACGTAGGTCTCTAAGAGTATTTTAGTATACTCTCCTTTAGACACTGGATCTGCATATAGGGCTGGGGAAGATATGTGAGAAAAAATGAGAACGCAAGGTTTCTATTTGGCATTTGTTACAGACAAGAACACGTAGATGCACATGTTCCAGAACTGAAAGTGTCAAAATGAAGTAAACATTATTCTGAACAAGCAATTTCCCCTGGGGTCGAACATGGGCACCTCCTGCAACCCAGAGCGTTTTGAATCAAACCAAGGCTGAGGCACACAATGGAGAAAGTGCAACGCCAACCTCCCACATTCTGCTTCAATGACTCAAGCACCCTTCTCCATAAGTGCAGGCAGTCCCAGCACATTAAGCACTAACACTCAACGAGAACAGTTGAGCTCGCAGCCCTTTTAAAAGCCTGGCAGTGCATCAGAAGTCAGAGCTTCCATTATGGCTCTCTAAAACTTTCTATGAGGCTTTCTATTTATTACCTTTAGGAAGAGTTGCTTATAGTCGTCTTTCTTCCTGTTTAGTTCTATTAACTTTGTAAGAAAAAAAATTAGATGTCTAATCTTCATTGGTGCTTAAAATGTTCTGCAACAGCTTGAAGGAATGCACAAACAACACATGCTCAGTTTATCTTTCTTTGAGCCAACTACCTTTTCCCCATTATATAGCTATCAGGCATTATTATCCTTTCTTCCTTACTGATTTTGTTAGCATTTCTTCCAGTTTTCTTCCTAACAGCACCTCTTCACAGAACATGCGAAAACAAGAGTTTTGAGCAACTGTCTTGAATTCCCTCTTCCTTTCTGGACACAGCTGCAAAGCTGTGGCCAAGTCCCAGTGACATTCAACACCAATTTTTCTTCTTATCAGTGTAAAAGACTAGCAAGACCAAACCCCCCCCCCCCCTGTCCAAAAAAAAAAAAAAAAAAATAACCATCCCATGGATTCAATCTGACCTACATGCTCAGCTGTACCTTGAATGGACATACTTAAAATAGCAAGGCATCTCTGCAGGGACAATTTCTCCTTTCCTCCTCACCCCAATGTAAACAGCATCTATTATTACAGCTACATTCTCACAGATAGAACTCCTAAGTCATTGGGTCAAAAAAACATTCATAGTTAAGCAACAAGGTAGTTCAAAATCTTAGCATCTTAAATCACTGTGAATAGATACAGAATGCAGAGACTTGCATTAGTGGCAGTATAACTAAGGCAGCTGAAATAAACCGAGTGGTTCCTCTAGGCAGATATAAAGGGAAGTAAAATCACATGAACTGCTCTAATAAACACATATCTCCTTTTAATTGCATGGTTCAAATGTAATGCTGGTGTAATCAAGCAGATGCCAGAAGAAGGCACCAGGAATTATCACAGAACAATATGTATATAATATACTCGTTGCTTGGTTTTGCTTGGCTATTGCTTGGTTTTGTTTTATTGGTTTTTTTTTTTGTTTGTTTGTTTGTTTGTTTTTTCCATCTCAGCTTAAATCCAGAAAGACACAGAAGAGCCCCCACAGCTTAATTTTTCTCTCACTAAAATTGACAGACATGTCATGTATGATGGTTACATAAAGAATAATAATATTTAAAAAATTATTCTGATTTTCCACATTTAACTAACTACTTTCCCAAACATACATATACACGTCTATATATATATATTTTTTTATGTATATATACATTTTTTTTATTATTATTGTTTTACTTTTTTTACTGCCTAGTAAGTAATTAGAGATTTCTTAACATTCAACCTGAAGTTGTCAAAAGATTACATTACCTGGTTTAATCTGG